CTTTTGCAACACACCGTGAACCACATTTGAAAATAATTACTCTTTCTCAACATTTGCACGTACTTTCTGTAATCTTGGTGACTGGTTTGAATGACAGCGACTATCTAACAATAAAATAAAACACAATGAAGTCAATTTGTGTCACTCTTGGTATACACTCACCCCGTTTTTTTGCTTTAGGAGCACTTTGAGAACTTTTTCAGTGAAGAAGAAGAGGTAAAAGCCTCCGAACACCACGGCGGACTTGGACACGTAGAAATCGACCATTGGGTCAAATCCAAAGGCCTAGCATGCAGAAGAAGATGATGTTAACACGTGCAGCAATGTGTTACAATAAAGAATGCTTTCATGAAGGGCAGTGGTTCAGGATCAGAGGGCCCCGAATCAGGATCAGAGGCCCTGAATCAGGATCAAAGGGCCCCGAATCAGGATCAGAGGCCCTGAATCAGGATCAGAGGCCCTGAATCAGGATCAAAGGCCCTGAATCAGGATCAGAGGCCCTGAATCAGGATCAGAGGCCCTGAATCAGGATCAGAGGCCCTGAATCACTGTCCTTTGTGTTTCTTGCAAAAATCGTATTAATTTAGTTGAATTTAAGTGAGGACTGACTCACAGCTGATTGATGTCTGCAAGACAATTTAGACTATTAATGTCATTTCCAATCAAAAAACCTTGATTTTCCTTAATGCTTGTGCTGTCTATGGTGACTATAAACTTTAAAGCAGATTATTCTGTTGTTCAGTGGTACATACAATAAAAACTCATCCTACTCACTGTGAAACTGTGATTTATCTCACATTAAGTGAAAGGAGAAAAAAAATAACTAGTGCACATAAATACATGTGCACAAGGATTTGAACAATGACAGTTTATCATTTTGTCCTTGCACATCACCACAGTGGTTTTAAATTCATCAAAATGTGATTTAAATGCAGAGTTTCAGCTTTAATTCAAGCATTAACTGTTTAGGAATTACAGTTATTTTTATATGTAGCCGCTTAAAACTACAACATTTTAAATGTAAGGACTAGAAACTGAAAACTGCCTTACTGGGTTGAGATCAGGTGACTGACTCGTCCACTGAAGAATATCTAATATATAGATTCTTTTTTGGAGACTTTTGGAGAAACCTTTTAGTAATATGAGCAGAGAGTACAGCCCAGCACACGGTACAGAACTGAGAAAAAACTCTAGTGACCCAGTTCCACTGGCAGCCATACATGCCCGTGCTTGTTGGGCATGTATGGCTCCACCATGCTTGACATATAATTTGCTACACTTCTCCAAACTTTTCTCTTCCCATTCCGGCTTCATCGGTCCAAAGAATTTCATTCCAGAGCTCTTCGGATTCCTTCAGATATTTTCTGGCAAAGTGTAATCTGGCCCTCCTGCTCGTGAGTGTAACCAGAGGTTTGCACCTTGCTGGAAGCCTTTTGTATTTACTGTTGATGAAGGAGTCTCTTGTACGCATTTGTTTTTGTAAACCATGGAAATAATTCTGTGATCATCTGCTTCTCTTGTCTTCTGTGGTATTTCAGGCCTTTTGCTGTTGCTGAGCTGGTGAGTCCATCCTTACTTTTTAAGAATACAGCAGAGTGTTGATCTGACACTCTTAAATGTCTAAACAGTTATTTGTTAAACCCCTTAAATTAAACCTGAACCTCTGCACTTAAGTCTTTTCTTGAATGTTTGACTTGAAATACACTGTGTGGGTGGGCAGAGATTAAATTTAAAAAACAAACATTGACCTAACTGTATTTCCAAATGCTATCTATCTATCTATCTATCTATCTATCTATCTATCTATCTATCTATCTATCTATCTATCTATCTATCTTCTCACTGTTCTTTCCAGGAACTACACAGCAGCCCTGCTAAAAATGCACTGCAGCAAACTGAGCCTCAGCAGCACCAACACTACCTCTGGGATGAGCTGAAACAGGGCGTTGGAGTAGAGAGTGCCAATGGCCAGGGCTATGAAGTAGAGCAGCAGTCGCTTGTAAAAGGTTTTCTTCATGAAGGGCACGACGCACGCCCCGACCAGCGAGCACAGAGAGATCAGTGTCACGCATAGGATCCCATAGCCCCAAACTGATTAACAGAGGAGAGAGAAGGGGGAAGAAGAGAGAGAGAGAAAGAGGTAATCAGTTTGGAAATAATCTTGTCGGATTAATGACCAGTGTGTTAACCAACGTCATGAGTTTTAAAAAAGGAGGGAAGACCAAGCAGTTAACTCCCTGGAAAGGAACAATTAAATGAAATCATCCTGAGAAAAAAGAGACATGAAAGGATTTTCAGGAACAGCGAGCCGATAATCCGCTGAAAACAGCTGAAGTGAGACCACCTTTTACTTGTATTTGAAGATAATCACCAGTTCCTCATTTCCACTGATAAAAAGAAGATGTCATTATAGTTTACTCCAATCTCAAGCATTCACACACACACTCTCGTTTTCATATCTTAGTGAGGACATCTAATTGACATGCTTTCCCTAGCTGCTTACCCCATCAAAAACAAATCCCTAACCCTCAGCCTAAACCCGAACCATAACCTAACCGTAACCCTGACACTAAAACCACATTTTGAGCCTCAAACCTGCCTTCAAACTTGTGGGTTTTTGTCCCCACGAGTACAGCGGCATGCCAATTTTCTGTCCTCACAAAGATGGGGCCCACAC